GAGTTATTGACAAAAAGATATTTTTTTATTATTATTTACAGAACAGCAACGATAATTGGTTCCAACGTTAGAACCAACATTTGACACGGTTTTCGATAATATTGCAATTGGCAAATGTGTCTCCTACACGATGGGGTGAACGTTTGTTCCAACATGGTTCCAACGCTGGATGCTAACCTGGCACATAACCTGGCACTACATTTGTGACATTAAATCAGTGTCGTATGTACTTTTGGCTTGAGCAGATATAGATAGATATTCATTTATTTGTTCCCATTAACGAAAAGTTACCCGCAGTAGTACCCGCAGGCATGGAACATTGTGAAAATAGCAAAAAACAAAACTTAAGACTTAATATAAAACACAAACAAATACACTTAAATAAGGAAAACAAACTAGAATAACACTTGACAACAAAAAAATATAAAGTGTATGATTCGAAAATGTTTGTTGATGATGCATTTATCCAATAAAATTGTCATTTGAAAAAAAAAATTACGGGCAAGCTGATTTTTTCAGAGTTTGTCAGCGACTGTCTTCTGAGTGTAAAATATACAAAATCGGCAATTTTCCCCTTGCGGTTTTTGAGCAATAGGGGTGTTTTTTTTGAAACTGTACTACAACAAAATAATTAGACGCAAATTGTACATAAGAACATTCTCTATAAGTTCGCCTAATGAATTTTTTTATAAGTTTATTATTTCCGGACTTAGCGGCCGTTTCATGAGCCCTTTGGGGTGGTTTTCAAAAAGTTTGTTTTACAGCAAATTGACCCGTATGAAAGTTGTTCATAATAAATGAACAAGCAACTTTTCCTCAAAATTTTTTTTGTAGCTTCATTATTTTTGGAGATAGCATCCAGTTCATGAACAAATTGGGGTAGTTTGATCTGGGCGCTATCTCCAAAAATAGTCAAGTTACAAAAACAGTTCATAAGGCAAAGGTATAATATGTACTCTTATTTTAAACGAGTTTCCTAGGGTGAATTTGCTGAAAAAAGAGTAACATTGAAAACTACCCTAATTTGTTCATGAACTGGCCGCTATCTCCAAAAATAATCAAGCTACAAAAAATATATGAGGAAAAGTTGCTTGTCCATTTATTATGAACAACTTTCATACGGGTCAATTTGCTATATAATATAATAAACTTTTTGAAAACCACCCCAAAGGGCTCATGAAACGGCCGCTAAGTCCGGAAATAATATAATATAATAATAAACTTTTAAAAAAATCATTAGGTGAACTTATAGAGAATGTTCTTATGTACAATTTGCGTCTAATTATTTTGTTGTAGTACAGTTTAAAAAAAAACACCCCTATTGCTCAAAAACCGCAAGGGGAATATTTCCGATTTTGTTAATTTTACATTCAGAAGACAGTCGCTGAAAAACTTTTTTTTCACTCTCTATACGGCGATACAATTTTACTGGATAACATAGAAAGCAAGTACTTTGTGCTTGTGTAATGTTGATTTATTTTATTAGTAATATTGTTTAATTCCTTAATAATGTAAAGTGTAAACATTCAGAATGGAAATAAAAACAAATAATAGCGCATCTGTCAATTACTTTAATCACTTTTAATGATTCATTTGAAACACTAGCCTCAGTAATACCGAAAAATTAATCATCATAATCGACCATATGTAACCCAGTTTTAACAGTACTATGTTTATGCGAGCTGAAATAAATGAATGCGTTTTAGCGCATACCGAGAAAAAAGGGCTGACAACATCCGGTATGCAACGCGGTTACAGGGTGGTCGTTTTTGTAATGCACAATGGAGTTATACCAGTATGTTTTAGTTTTTTTTTTTTTGATTCTGCGACATTGGAATATTTTGCAGATGGAATGAAAAAAATCGGCACGTATAGCCGCCCATACTAAAATATGTTAATAAAAAGTTGGTAGGCAGTTCTTTTAGTTTCAATTATCTCAAAAACTGCGACTTTGATTGATTTTGATGTTATTTCAAATTTTGTTGCAAATATTATTCCTGATCTTAAATTGAAAACGGCGTTTCGCTAGCTATTGTAATTTTGGAGTTACGAATTTTTAAAATTTTTAACCCCCTTACCAACCCACCACCCCCACCAAAAACTAATAGCCAGATTCTCTGGTGCCATAGTATTTTTGTGCCAAATTGTGTTACAGACAGACGGACAGACGAACAGACAGACAGACACCATGAAAATATTTTGTATTTAGGTCATTTATGACCCAAATAACTCATTTTGAGTGAAATTAAAAAAACTTTTTTTTCGATCTTAATAGCCTACCATACCTCTTGGTATGGTCGGCTAAAAATTTGAAGGATTTATATACTATTCTAGCTTTATAATTTTATAATGTTTTTTTAATTTTTATTAAAAAACGACAATTCTATTTATCCGGCCGGATAGCTGTGGCCATTAAACCAAAATACTACTACATCTATATCTCTGACAACTACTAACTGCTACTAACCAACAATTTGTTTTGTGTGGTCTGTGGTCTGTTTTTGTTTAAATCTTTGAATAAGAAGACTAGGAAGGAGCATATCAAAAATCTTAGGTACACCGCGATGGGCCTCAAATATGGCCGACTTAAATTCCGGTTTATCAGTGTCGTTCTAATTTTATTTAAAAAATGTAAAACTATGATGTAGGGTAGACGTGGGGTAGACTCAATAATTTGTTGTTTTATTTTACGTTGTGAATAAATGTTGGTAGTTATTAAAATTGTTATAAAAATATATAATTCTAATAAAAATAGATAAGTTATAATAGGTATTTATTAACACAAAGATCCGATACGCTACTGAAGCAGGTAAGTCAAATTAACGTATCTAAATTCTTTGACATCTAATCTTTGACAAGTAATAAATAAAAGCTAAAATGCAAGAAAAATATATAATTTAGTTAATTTAAGTGAATTTCATAAATGATCGGTTTACTACACGTATGTATATTATATAGTCACTTACTAGCGAAAAGTTGTTCCATTATTTCACTCAATTTTTGCCGAGATCTACCGCACGCTACACAACCAACTATTTTAGAGTCTTTTTCGATAAATCGCGATAGTGTCACTGTTAATTTAAGTTCTGCCACAATTTCCATCTAGATTTACTACCTTTATACAACTATCAGTAGTAGAATAAATAATAAATAACATAAAATAAGCTCCGTAAAGACTGACAAATCCACAAAATTTCAAATCAAATTCAAATGTGTCAAATGAATCGTCAAACAGAACTGTCAAGGATCCCCACCCTAGAGAGCTTTTATGGTGGCTTTTCCGCCCACCATGCATGAATACATGGATAGCATTATGCTCCTTCCTTAGTCTTCTTATTCAAAGGTTTAAATGTGTTGTTCATTATTCATGTTGGGGATTTATTTTTAAATTTTTGTTAATCGTTAGGCATTGTCACTCTAATCGCTGTCGTCTAGAGATTGACGTCATGAAACTTATTATCTATTGTCATTTCCTAGCCGTCTCCGACACCGTTTTTTTTTCGATCATTTTTAGGCAAATTTTTGAACTTTTTCTCACAGCTCCCTAAGGAAGTACACATAACTCAAAAAATAGGCGTGAAAAGAGCCACTAAAGCACACGTGTGTTATTTTTCTACCACACGTGTCTGTTAGGGTGTCCATGTTGGTTATTTAATACCATGTGTTTAAATTATCTCCTTATTATGCTATTTTCTTAAAAAAAATGCAATTAATTTTTGAAAATTAAGCATTTTGTGCTTTATAGACTTATTGTCTAGACCATAAACAGTACCAAGTATAAAATTTACAATATTTATACATACATATATTCTCTCTAAATTATTAAAAGTTAATGCATATGTTCAGTTTTAAAGAGTTAAAAAAAATAATCTACTTTTGAACGAAAATTACAGATATCTGAGTTTGATTGGACTATACTACATATATTGTGTAAGATATTTAAAAAATACCGGATATAACAACATAATCAGCCATTTAAAATTAGTCACCTTAAAGTGAATCAGGAAAATCGATTTCAGGTCCAAGAATGTTTAAGGAAAAACCTTTTAGTGTACTGTACACTAATTACACTGACTGTACAATTTACGAGTTGCGTAACAGACAAAAAAGGTGCTAATCTATTTTAAATTTTATCCATAGACGTTAAAAGAAATAGATGGATGATTATTATGCTTATAAAAAATCGTCAAAGAAAATTAAATAAAGGAATAAAAATATCTAACGAAAAAACTTAAAATAAAATAGTCAAAGTGTAAATAAATATTCAAATGCATTATAAGTAAGAAGAGTCATATTTAAAGATTTTTTCTTTTGAAGTGAAACTTATTTAAACTTATATTTTTTTACACGTAAAAAACAATTTTTTATGCGTAAAAAACTATTTGCTACAAGCAAAAAACTATTTTTATGTGCAAAAAACTATTTGTCACACGTAAAAAACTATTTGTTACAGGTAAAAAACTATTTTTTACGCGTAATTTTTTTTAATTTATTACTTTTTCAACATTTCAAATTACACTTTTCACATGTCCTTCAAATTCTTCAATTTAATAGCTATTAGTAAGAAGTTTCACACTAAATATGCACACAATTTTTTTTATACAAAATAAAACTGACTTACTAGTCTATTGTAAAATTTACTAGTCTATTTAAAATCAGTAAGCTATCTATTAGTTATAAGATCTATGGTTTTATTTGAATATTCCATTTTTATAGATTCCTGTTAAAGATTACGTTGGTTATTTACTTTAGGCTCTTAAATTAACTGAATTTACCACATGCCACGCGTGATGGAAATAAAATCTTTAAACCTGGAAAAGCTGTTAATTTGGGAAAAATAGGTATATTATTTAAATGTAATTGTAATGATAGCGTTATTAGTTCCTGCCATTTGAACATGTTTTGAGCATTATTGAATTTTCATCATTATGATTATTGAAAATTATATAAAACAGTAATAAATAATATTTTATTAATTTAATTTTCCTTTTTTTTTGCAGAGGTAAGAACGTCTTGAACCAAAAGACTGAACTACAAAGGGCCTTGGAACGACACAAGGACAACCTTGCCAAAAAGCAGCTGGAGAACCACATAGCGGCCAAGGTACCGGAATTGGAAAAAGTCATAGCGGATCGGGCAAAAAGGCTCGAAAAACCTGACAAAGTTGAGGTAAAAACAAAAAATCACTTTTTATCATTTTTATAATCACTAAATATCTGTAGGAACTTTTCAAATTATGCACTTATTTATTCTGTGGTTACTGTGAAAACAATTATTGAATACGTCAATCAATCCTAATTTATGTCATATACTAACACACCAAATCTCGTTTTTTTAACTGAAAAAATATGAAAGTTATAGGGGTGAGCCACTTTTGAGACGCACCCGGTATAGTGTAGTCAACACAATACAGATATTATGTTTTTTACAGTTGGGAATGGAACTTTTGGTGTTACAACAGCAAAATAAAACACTTATTTTACACAAAAAAATATTAAAACACTTACACTTTAAAAGTATTCCTTCACCAAATTGTTAAGAAATGTTTTTGACGCCGTTTTTTTTCGATCGTATGGTATAAAAATGAATTTAATTTTTTAATATAATATTAACGGTTTATTTTCTTTACAGAATGAAGAAGACAAGGTGATAAACAAAGAATTCCTCCAAGCGAGGATGAAATTGAAGGCAACAAACGAACTAAAATAAGACTCTCAACGTCATCAGGAAAAATCGAATCATTTTTTTATGAATATATAAACATATATATTTTTACATGAAAAAAAAAACGTTGTATGAAACAATCAATCGCCGTATCAATTATAATTAATATTATAAGCCATAACAATTTTTGTGAAAGAAAAATGTTATATCATGCCATAAAAACGTTCATTAATCTGTTTTTTATCGACAGGCTTCCAAAAAATGAGCTACATTAAACATTCTGGACTAAATTTTGGTTGGTTGAATATCGATTTCAATCAGTTATAATAAAAAATGTGTATTTTTTTGTTTGTTCATTATTTTTTTGTATGAAAATTAGTCGTAAGTTATAAGTACATATTTAATTTAATGTGATACATGCTTAAGTACGAAGCAGAATTATAGTTTTGACGTTATTATTGTTTAGCTAAATGTGAGGGTGAATCTAATGTAGATGTGTAAGTGTACCTAGTTCTAAGAACAGTGTATTATTATAGGAAAATGCAGAAATATATTTTGTACAAAATGTTTTTAAGGTGTTTTATTTCCTATCCAACTAAATATAGAGAAATCTTTGACAAATGTCGCATTAAATCTACGTTTTGTTTAATTAAAACTTCGATTTTCATTGCAAAAAAATGCTAAAACCACTAAATATTCGAAACTAGCAACTTTTCTCACCTTTACTCAATTATTTTGAACAAGAAAAAGATCATCGCTCATATCAGCGTGTTTCATCTGTTTTTATTGAACTCCTGGTAATTTATATGCATTTTTTACTTCTTGATTACTTATTAGCATCAATCTACAGGGTGACTATTCTGAAAAGATCCATATCACTTTTTATTTAAGATTATTTTCACTCCAAACCTGCATCATCCCATTCACTTTAAAATCCTCTGTTGAATAATTGGAGCTTTTTCTCATTCTCATTACCTTTGTTCTTTCTAGAAGTTGTTAAATCATAATTAAAAACTGAATTATAATAAAAAAATCATACATAAATCACAAAAAAACCAGCAAAAACAAAAAATAAACAGAAACGATTTTCTTCTTTTATTTTAAGACACGAGGCGCCATCTAGGCCGACTAGATCGAACAAACGCTATAAAGTTTTCTACCTACCGTCTGAAGTTAGCCTTGAATTTCGTCCTTTTCAGTCAAATTTGACAATCAAAGCAAACAATGGCCGTGCATCAGATGAGGGATCTATCGATCTAATATTTTTTCGTGTTTTGCCGTGTTTTAAAATGTGATTTTGTTTGTGTAGCCGAGCAAAATGTGGATCCCGACCAAAACAAAGAAATACGGTGTCGGTAAGTGCTCTCTTTGTGTTAAAAACCCGTCCAGAAGGCTTTGATATCGAACGAAATATCGCTCATCTAGCTGATTGTGATATTGCGATTTTGTTTTCCATTAGGAATTATCAGCATTTCCTTTATTATTCTAATAGATTTTGTAGGAAGTTACCCTTATCATCAAACCATTTAGTTAATAATAGTTTAAATTTGTGTCGATGTTTGTTTTGGAACGTAGATAAATTAAATTTTTGCAATGTTTTCAAACTTCTTACAACTTTTTCGCTGATGTATCAGTTTTCATCGAGGTGGTTCTAAATAATTAAGAACGGACAAAGTCAAAGTTTAAACAAACACCTGAGTGAAACCAGTCAGTAACTAGGATTTATTTTAGTTCCCTTGAACACTGCCTATTTCCTGTGTGGAAGGTTCTTGACAAGACATTCACATCTCAATATTTTAAGTGCCGTTTCCTCTGTGTCTCTGACTGGAATTATAATAAGGATTATTTTAATTTCGTCGGGGATGAGCCTTTTTAGTCGACAGTGGTGGTTATTGTTTGAAAGCGGCGACCTGCTGATTGTTAACAATAGCCTCTATTTTGTTTAAGCTCCTGTGTTTAAGATAATTTTAATTTCTAATAAATTACAGTTCTTAGGGACTAATTTTTGATGATTGTATTATATAATTTGTCAAAAAATAACACTGCTTACTTTTACATAGAGTAATTTTGTATAAAAGGTCTTGTATAAACCTATAAATAATACCTATTCTCTATGTAATTTATTTTCCGTTCACCTTGAAGATATGAAATGAAAATATTAGGTTTTCTGTAATTTTTTTGTTTCTAGACTTGATAGATATTTTATAAATTCCATTATAATAACGGAACTTTGCAATTTAATCCTCGAAGAATATCTAACAAACTTGATAGTCATGCTCTTTTTATAGTAAGGCACTTTTTCTCAAAAATCTATGAAGCATCATAAATTTAACGTCTGTATTTATTAAGATAGCTTTTTATCAATGAAAAAATGTAGAAATAATAACAAAATAATAGAAATAAGTTTATAGTAGGTGTTAAATCTGTATAATTATTAAAAAAATATATTTGAAACTGAAAAAATCTTAATTTCGTGCTTTGGGATAATCGTTTTTGTGCAATTTATCTATAAATATTCTGTCTTTTACATAATGTTATCTTTTATAATTATTTTAAGATAATTTTAATATCTAAGAAATGATATGTTTGTAAATAGGAGATGGATTTCTGATAATTTTAGATTTTACAGGGTGGTCCGAACTGTATTCCGCAAACTTCGGCAACATATTCTGCAGATAAAAATAATTAAAAAAAAAGTTTGTGTAAATATATATGTCCTAAAATGCTTAGTTTCGGAGATACAGGGTGTAGAAGTTTCATTTTTACTTCGATTTTTTCCAAATAATTTCTGAAATAATGTCAATATTTGGATGAAAATTGGTGTCTGGGAGTTTTTAACTGAATTTTTAACTTATAACATTTCCCATATAAAATGACAGCGATCTTCGTTCCATAGTCATCGCTGACGCCGTTTTTTTTTCTCGCTCATACGGTATTTAGTCAACATGTTTAATTTACTGCAAATAAAATTTTTTCAAATAAGTTTCCGGAATACAGTTCAGACCACCCTGTATATGATTTATACTTTCTATGTAATGCATTGCACCTTGAAGACACAATTAAAATATTAAGTTTTCTATATATTTTTTTGTTAGGTATTTTATAAATCTTCTAATAACAAGAGGACTTTGTACTTCTTCAAGAATTACTATTAAACATGACAGTTCATGCTTTTTCTAACAAAAATGATATAGAACCACATAAAACGTTTTAAAAATATCATTGAAACATTATAAATTATAATACTGTATCTATTGAAGATAAATTTTTATCAGTGAGACAAAAATAGAAATATTTAATAAGAAAATAATGAAAATATTGTATTTGCAGCTCGATTTGCAATAATTTCTGTATTTGTAATTAAAAAGTCATTTTAATGCAAGTTTTATATAAAAGTTCAGTCTTTCTCCATGAAGTTATCAATTATTTCTTGCATTATCAGCTTTGTTTACAAAAGTTTCTAAAATTGAAATAGCGTGAATGAATAAATCTGGTTTTTGTGACAAAAAGCTCTTTATTATCAAATCGTCGCAATAATCTAACCATATTATTTGATTGCAGTTTTATTTAGACATATTTATGGGTAAATAAATATGCTTGTGCATATTACCCTTATATTACCTTTGCTCTCATATTTATTTACTGTGCTTTGGGCAATTGAAATATGTATATTTTAAATGATCCAATTTTATTGGATAACATATTATACTTACTTGCATACACACTACTTTCTTGTTTATTTTAAATTTTTTACTGAGAAATATAGAAAATATACCTAGAATTTTATCAAAGGAAATATTTACTGCAATTGTATGATTGTTACATAATCTGTATAATCATGGTATTTATAAAACATTTGTTTAACCTTGAATCTTGAAACAGATTTACCTGTGTTAAAAGGTAAATAAATATTTGAAAAATTCTTGGAATTCCAAGAAAATCTAATTAATTTTTATTAAAAACATTCAAATTTTTTGTGTATAAGAAGGGCATTATTTTGTCAAAAACTAGAACGACTTGGATTGAAGCGTTTTTACACCAAAATATCTGACAAATTAGTTATTAATAAATAAATTGATATGATCGAAAAAAAAACGGCGTCAAAGACGGCTGGGAAATGACAATCCACGATAATTTTGGCGAGGTCAAGCCCTAGACGTCATTACTTCGCCCGTTCTCTTTTTTACCTTTTAATGGCGTTTACAGCAGCCAGTTGGCCTTAAGAAGGTTGTAATTTATTTTTATATTGATTAAAAACGATTTTTAAATGGTGTGGTTTAAAATCCGAGAAAAAATAGTTTTTTGGAAGTAGATTTGTGTATCTGGAAACAGTTCTATCGTTTTTTAATCTCTCTATAATAATTAGTGTTTATTTTATGTCAATTTTTAGTAAATTACGCCTAGAGATTGACCTCGGCAAAATTATTATCGATTGTAATTTCTCAGCCGTCTTTGACGCCGTTTTTTTTCGATCGTACCGATCATACGGTATTTAAATTGCTTTTTTTTTCTCTAAATATTAATTTCTTTCAGCCATTTACAATTGGAAGAGCGACGTCAGGTTCGGCCTGCCTCTGGAGATCGGAGATACGGTCCAAATTTTAGAAGAATGCCAGGGCTGGTACAGAGGTTTCGCGACTAAAAATAGAGCTCACAAGGGCATATTCCCACAGAGCTATATCTTTCTGAAAGTAAGTACCGACTTCTAGAAGTCTCTTAAATTATATTTTCGGTCTTACTGTAAATATTATAGTCTAAGAGCTAGCAACGTTTTCGAGAAAGTATTTTAAGACGTCTGGCTCTTTAATATATCTTTTACTATGCTCTCTGGAACAGCATGCGGCCCGTCTGGCTGCCGATACCCGTTGCGTTCACTACTGCGCATCGGAAGAAGATCCTATATTTTTTATTAATTTAGTCCTATAAATTCTAGTATTGAATATAAATCGAACATATCTCCATATCCGTAGTTCAAATCTCACGCCGACCAAGACTTTTTATATATTTTTTGCTTATAGCATAGAATAACTAACTGAAAGAAATGAAAACTCCTATGTTAAAGCCTGGAAACACGCGCTCGACGCGATCCAAGCGGGCTACTGGCAGAACTAAAAATTCGCGCCATATTTTTAAATGGACCTTTACTGCCAGTTCATAAGTTTTTTACTTATATTTGGTAATTTCAATCTAGATTATGAACTTATTTGTAACAAAACATTTTACAAAATAAAAATAATGTATTTTGATACAAATAAATTAATAATTAGGTTGAAATTATCCCTGAAATTAGAATAAAACACGAAAAATTTGTAACTTGATTATTTTATTATAACATTGTTAATAAAATTACATATAACACATTCAACACTATACAAGTATATATAAAAGTTATCAGAATTTATACAATCAGTTATAAGTAATTATAAAAAAGGTTATAAATTATAAATAAATAATTCATTATATAAAAGACATATAGTTACCGTGAATATAATTTGGTATAACTTTAATCTCAACTTTAATGACCTATTCAAATAGAAACATCTTACAATTCACATTATATAATACACAAAGCCAAGGGACAAAATTGTTATTAAATCTATTCTCGATGACTCGAAGCATTTTTTTTTCAAATAAAACAGGACATATAGGGCTTATAAATAATACAAGGGTATAGAAAATATATAAATAAGTAAATACAAATATATTTTCAACCTAATGATTAATGATTATACTCGTTTAAATAAATAAATGATCTTTTTAAAATTACTTGTTTGTCTTTGCAAATTTGTATATTTAATATTTATCTAAAAGCGTACACTTACATAAATTACTGCACAACCTTTAAAATTAAGCTTTTAATATGTTATACAAATTCTTGATTCGATATAAATACACTTAAATAAAACTTTAAAATTAATGATCTTCCAAATTTCTGAGACAGCCATTTTGTTGAAAGAATTTGTTTTGATTATGAGAAATTTCATAAAAATTATCACAGGGATTAATTAATCTTATATATTAAACTACTTGGCTTTTAAATTTCACAATCCTATCGTCCAAAATACTCTAAATTCGCAAAAATCCGTAAAATATTCCCATAAAAACAAATCACAATTCACTTCCACTTCACAGAAACTGACAGACATTGCCAAATATGGAATGACGTTTATTTTTCAATTTATTTTACTGATCTAACTGATCCGGGTCACTTAGAAATTAAATTTTTATTAAATTATTTAATTATAATTGTTTCTGGCGAAAGCAACTTCATATCAATGTTTATTCATAGGGTAACAAAGCACATCGCTGTTAAATTATCAACATTTTGTATAAATATTTATATTTTTCAACTACTCCAACTACCCCAATTACTCCACAGAGAATCAAACGAATTGTTAATTAAACTATACTCTGTGGATGACTTGATAAAATCATGATGAAATTAAAGTCCCTAGATGAATATCTAGGGACTTTAGATGAAATTTCTACGCAGCGCCATCTATCCCTCTACTGGCAGAAACTCCGCCGTGTTTCCAAAATTCAAATGGCAGTTTCATCCGCCTGCTTATAGCGTGATCTTATTGCATTGGTTTCACTCTTTTTAGTTGGATTGGTTTAGTTATTTGGCGGGTTGGTTAGCGTGGGTATTTGGAGGGTATTAATTCATTGATTAATTGGTTATTTGGTGGGGTTGGTTGATTTTTACCAATTTATATTTGTTTTTTATATTTTTTATCAGTGTCGAGGTTAGTTGCGTTGGTTAAGTTGGTTATTTGGTGGGGTGGATAGCGTTGGTTAGTCCTTATAAAACTTCTATATTTCATAAAGCCGTCAAATGCGTCGCATCAACGACGTCATACCTATTAACGGCATTTTAGTAAGCTACCGTTTAACGGCAGTTTAAGTACAGCCTTATTTAAAAACATGCTTCCTAACTATAGAAACATTAAATAGTGAGGTTTTTAAAGTTATTTAAGACATAGCTAATTTAGTAAACTTTGTTTTTTAATTCTAGCAATGTAAAGTTGACAATGAAGGTCTGTTTGAGAGTGTAGTACCCGTCGAAGATCCAGTGGTCAGAGAAGTGACCTTGGTCCTGAGAGAATGGGGGCGTATGTGGAAAAACATATTTGTGGTAAGTTGGACAATCCTAGCAGAAATTTCTTAAAGTTAGAAAAAGTCTAATGTAACTCTAATATATTATAGGAACATCGATAAAAGATGGCGTGCATGTCATTAAAATATTTCACGAATGCACGTAGCAATGTTGCCACAGCTACTTTTTCTACTTTTTTAATTGGTAATTTTGTCACCAATTTTTTACTTGAATTTTAGACACAATACATATACAAATATTTTTTCTATCTACATTATTACATGGTGTACGATTATTACACAAACTAATTCTAATTAAATGAATTTATTGGCAAGTTTTCTGAATGAAAGCTGAAAAATGTAAAGTTTTATTTTTTATTGATTTATCCTTTTCTTTGTTAAATTATTTAAATTATTAATTATTTTAGTGATTTGTTATTATTATTTATTTGAATATTTAATTATTATTTCTCAAACTAAGTTGACGAGGTTGAGATTACATTGTTTACGATTATTACACAAATAAATTCTAGTTAAATGAATTTATTGGCAAGTTTTCTGAATGAAAGCTGAAAAATGTAAAGTTTTAAACTTTTATTGATTTATCCGTAATTTTTTGTTAAATTGTTTAAATTATTAATTATTCTAGCGATTTATTATTATTATTTATTGAAATATTTAATTATTATTTCTGAAACTGGTTTAAGAATTGTTGTTGTTTTAGGAGAGAAATCACTACAAATTCGACACAGTAGGCAAGGTTATGAGGGATCTGTTGGAGTGGAGGAGACAGCTGGTTTCTGGGACTCTTACTCACGACCAAACCAGGGAGTTGAAAATGAAAATTATACAGAAAATCGACTGGGGAAACAGGTAAGTTTGTTAAGAAAACAATATTTTTCCGGTTTTGTAATACAAACTGGCTAAATTACCGCGGCGGCATAGACGGTTTTACATATTTATTAACGTGAATACCGCCTAGGTCAATTTTTTTAAATACGGCGGTTGTTACTAAATATATGGAGAATACCGCCGTTCGACGGTATACATTTTTCAAGGACAAATCTACCGCCTTTATTATATCAAATTTTATTGTTTTTCTCAACGCAACTTCCGCGATTAGGTACTGAACGTTATCAAAATAAAACTACAATTTATTGCATATATTGACCTCGCCAAAATTATCATTGATTATCATTCCCCAGCTGTCTTTGACGTCGTTTTTTTTCGATCATACGGTTGTAAGAATTATTTGAACAATCATGATGTTGAAAATAAAAATTCTCACTTATTTGAAGTCAGTTCATTTTTAACAATACTGCTTTTCTTTTTTTAAAAAAGGCCTTTAAAAATGGTCATGTGGTATCAGTAGTTTATTGTTTCACACTGTATATAGCTATCGCCCGGAAATAGCTGACTAATATTTGAAACAACCAAGTTTTTGTTTTTATCACTTAGAGAAATTTTAGTGATAATAACTTTGATAATATAATCCAGGATTATATATTTAAATTTTCTTTGCAGCTTATTTTATATTAGAACTATTGTGTGTGATATGCAAATTGTATATTTAACTAATAGTATTGTTGTGCTCTTATCGTTTTTTGATATCACTATCAATATTATCGAATTTGTGCAGTTTATTTTTATATTAAATCTTATGCCAATAATCACAATCAAGTATACCTATAGAATGTTCAGCCATGGTTCAACGTCACGTCGAACTCCCTCGAACTCCCACTTGCCAACCAGATGAAAGAGATTGGCGATGTCATTACGGCATTTCGTAAATCACTGATAAAAAAGATTTAAAGAGATCATGAGAAATTGCTGGGAATTATTTTCAAGTTTGTAGAACGGCCGCTAGAGGGCGCAACTGCTACGGAAATTAAGTGAATGGAATTTTTACGAAGTTTTGCCTAGATAAGTTGTACTATAAATTAGTAGTGGGAACTATCGAATGAATACTATCGAAACATTCGATAGTTGCAATTCATTCGAATAATTCAATAGTTAGTAAAAAAACATTCGTTGAAAACTATTCGAATAAAAATTATCGAATAGATCCGTCATCTGCCTTGAAATATTGTATTCTAGTAATTCGGCAGCAAAAACCATTCATTTATAAAATTCATTCATTTATGAAATTCATTTATTCGTCAGGATCGATTATAATAAAATATTAACTGAATTTTAGTTGTCGCCCGGCGACGTAGGTTTCTTTCCGAGAAACCCGACAACGGTCGGTGGCAATGCTATGAAAGAAGCCGGCATCTTTGATTTTTTGCGGAGTCAGATATAGATAAGGACACATTATTTTTTTTATTGAGGTGCTAGTATTTACACAGAAAAAACATTATGAAGGGCGCTGTTGCCATATTTTGGTATTAGTTGATATTAGCAAAGAATATTATTGTTTGGCTTTAGTTAGTTAGGGATAGTATGTCTATATATATTCTGCATTTTTTTTATTAATATTCTGTTGTTACACTGCAATAATACTTGTTATTTTGGATGTAGGAAAATTATTTTTAATGTTTTTAAGCAAAGACAGGGGTGCAACTTTGTTCATGTTTCAAAGCGATAGCAAAGTAATTTGTAGCTTGATGCACTATGTTCAGTAGCAACATCGATTTGTAGCGATATTCTGATTTCTCGCTTTGTGGCGAGGCGACAGTCTAGACACGTGTGCAAGAGTGTGATAGTGATACCATATTTCGCAGCATTTGAGCGACACTAGTTTTGCAATGAACATAGTATCGATCTGGTTTCGACATCGCTTCTAAACGATCGGTTGCTAACTTGAACAAAGTCGCACCCCTGGTTTAATAAATAATAATAACAGTAATAATTTGTTATACCTATTAACAACAAAATTTAAAATCATTTAATATAAATATTTTTTTTAAGTAGTAGCAAAATATAAACAACAAATTAGATGTCAAAATTATTTATATTAGATCCTATTTAAAAATAATATAGTCTCTAAATTTTTTGTGTTTGGCAACGTTTGTTTATTAAATAATAATAATTACAGAACTAATTTGTTATATTAACAACAAATTTTAAAATCATGAAATATAAACATTTATTAATTTTCTAAGCATGCAGTGTAATGGAAGGAAAATATAAATAAAAAATTAGAAATCAAAATTATTTATATTAGGTGCTTTATATTACTATTTAAAAATTATATTTACTTTTACTGGCATTTACTTTAAAAAATAAATGAAATATTTCTTCGCAAAAAACTACATGTAAGAGAATTAGCATAAACAAAATACAAACATCGTTAACTTTTTTTTTTTAAATTGGCACGTGTAAAACTTTCATTTTAATTTTCTCACCCCATAGTTTGAGTTCGATAACCATTTACTTAACCACATTACTTAAATATGATTATTAAGTTCAACTAATTCATATTATTAAAACATCTAAAATACAAATATGTATTTTTAAAATTAATTGTAAGTTCATCTCATCTCTCTTAAAAATTTCTACTTCTCAAAATTTCCCATTAAAAAATAGACCATATACCATATAAAATTAAATAATTGAAAGATCGGACTACGGAAAACCACAAAAATTTTCGGAAAAATTTTGACCACCTGCACATGCACACAATCGTCAATAAATAAAATTAAAAAATAACTACTATTTTAGTATTTTAACTATTTTAATAAACGCAAAAATAGCACAGTATTTATACGGCGAAGTTATAAAAATTTGGAAGAACTAATAATGCACTGACGCATACAAAAATCAAACGAATACTAAATTTCATTTATCAAAAGCATTCGATAGTCGTGGCTCAACGATAACCATTTAGTCGCACGGCGAGGTTGTCACATATGCTTTAGTATACAAATGAATGAATGATTTTATTCGAATAAAACCATTCGATAGTTGAAATCATTCATTCATTAACCATTCGATAGTCTAATTCATTCGATAGTTCCCATCGCTACTATAAATAATAACTTCACAATCTTCAGAAAATTTTGGATCTTTTTTGTCAGAACCATTTTTGCCTATCTGCTAAAATAAAGTGGTGGGGGAAAAGGTTAGATCTGTTATTATTTAAACATTAATAACCCCGGACTGGATGATCGGAATCCAACAAACGGGGGCCCGTTTAAAAGAGCGTTTCTTGCTCTATATTATTGCACATAAACAATAAAAATAAGCTTCTGAACGTAGACGCTAGGGGGCGCTATCTTATAACTTAACAAACATTACGTTTTTTTCAAAAAAATCAAATGCGATAGTATATGTAATTTTAGCTGATACTAAAGAGTAATAAAAGCTTAAAAAGTCATCAGCCAAAACCGCATCTTGGTATCTTTTTTCAAACCAAAGTTATTAGCAAAATTATAATGAATACAAAAAAAACAAGCCCTTAATTATTTTATTTTTCTAATACGGTATCACTAGCCCTCTAGATTATGACCATTCTAATAAAAAATAAGATAAAAAAGATTATTTTATTCAAAAAATCGACAATGTACCAGAATACCATAATACTAGGTGTATTAATATCTAATAATTAAGATATCAATGACAGTGAACAAGAAACGACGCGACGCCTCAGTGAATTCATGGTAGGCTTCTATGCCTACTATGACGTAGTTTTTACACGATAAAGGGACTATTTAAAATGATGATATAATACCGTATGATCGAAAAAAAACGGCGTCCAGTTGGCTTGGAAATGACGATCGATGAAATTTCCCATATAATTTTACATATAAAATGACAGCGATCTTTATTTCATAGCCATCGCTGACACCGTTTTTATTCGATCATACGGTATAAAAAAGTATTGATTTTTTTATTTTATTTTACTATCTTAGATCGTATTTTTTAACAAGGCTAATTAATGCATAGCTTCTGTTGTGTTGATTTTTAATCAATTATTTTTGCAAATACAACAACTTGTATTTTGGTTCTAGTTAGCGATGACGTAGATTAAAAAGCAATTAGCATTTTATTAAAAAATAACGTTAAAGTTGTACAGTGTGTGCCAAAAGTTTTATTATTGAGTTATTAAAATTAAAATTAATTCCGCATAAATGATTAATAAAGAAAATACAAGGAAAATACTTTAACAAATGTCATGTCAACTGTTGTAAGGGAAATTTATAAAAATGCCCCATATATTACAGTTTTGTCTTTTGCCATCACTCTGTATATATCCAGTAACTTAGACTACACTTATATTATGAATAGTTTCGAAGTTGGCTCTATTAATAAAATCCTCAAAAATTTGATAAAAAATATTTTTTTTGGAAATACGTTTGTGTGTCTCGAAACGTTCTGTCCTTTTTTAATCTTTCTATAATTAGTGTGTTAATTTTTGACTTTACGTTAATGTTTTTTTGTTAATTTTTGATAATTAAAAAAAATGATATAAAATCCTATTTTTTTTTTAATTTCCTAAGAAGCAAATATCCAAGCGCATAATCGTATTATTGTTTTTTTAAACATAGACAGGAATTGAAACTGATTCAAATTAATGTTTTTTAAGCGTTATAGTAGTAGAGAATGCGTAAAATACCGAGGATTATGAATGAAAAGAACATATGAGCGGCACATGCCACAAAGTTCCACATCTGTTTTTAATGAATCTAGACTCGGCTTTGTAAATATTGCATTTTTTCTTTTCCACGCTTATCGAGAAGTTGTACAGACGCAACACAGATTCTCAGTTCTTGTTGCGTGTAATATCCGTCCTAAATATTTCATCAAATATACAGGGTGTCTCAGTATTCCTGTTTTAACGAAATATACCTCAGCTGCATACTAAGCAAGTAGTATTTTAAATAATTAAATTTTTTTTAAAATACAAATAGTCCAGGAGGCAGTGTTTTTTTAACTTATTTTCCCAATGGCTGTATACAGGGTGGCGCACCTCATTCGCCTGGGTCCTCGGTTGACTATACGAAAAAGGAAAGATGTAAAAACAAGATATTTTATGGGTATACGTGGGGACACAATGCGCACCATTTAAAATAATTTTGAAATATACAGGGTGTTTCAAAACTAATATCCATGCCGAAGTTATATTTAACGCTTATTCTCGAACACCCGGTATTTTATTTCATTTTTGGATTCTTCTCCCCAAAAAAAGACATATTATAAGGGTTAAGTATGGTTAAAATCTTTGGTTTTTGAGATATTTAAAGATATTTAAATATGCATACTACAATGGAACAGATTATTAACACCCTGTACATTACTTTTTAGAATTAATTCTTGTGCTGAGTTTAAAGGTGGGGAAATAAACTTTACTGAACAATGTTATTGCTTCCTTAACTTCATACAGGGATACCAAAAATTGCTGATCTATTTTAAGGATTTATTTTATATAAAAAGTTCGTTATTTCAAATGCAACACCCTGTATTTTTTTAAATAAATCGACGAAGATTCAAATGCTCTTTTAAACTATATTAGGGTTTCCTATACCTATCTAGCTCAGATTTTGAATAAAAAGCGATTTTTCAATAAAATCGCAATCAAGATGGCTGGTGTCGCCATGGCAATTTTCCAGTGACATTTTTTAGTAACTATTTTCAAAATCGACATTAGTTTATGGACATTATCATTTTGATTTATAACAGTTTACTTAAATTTACCTACAATAGTTTAATAAGTAAGTATTCTTTATTCTATCAAGAAAAATAAAGCAATATCTGCTAGCGGAAGGGGTTACTAGTGATTTTATTTTTGAAGAAAAATTGCTTGCTGGACAGAAGGGTTTATGCTCAAAGACATCCAAATAGGAATCTTCCTGATAAGCGTTCCTTTGAAAAACTACTTGTCCTATTTCGCAGAGCAGGTAGTGTGGTTTATTAAAAAACCTATTAGGCAGAAACCTGTCGTTGGAAGTGAAGAAAATGAATTTGCCGTAATTGGCTCTTTTATAAAAAATCCATCGTAAAATAAATCACAGAACTACTTCTTCGTTTTTCTTGATAGAATAATAAATACATATTTAATAAATATTATTTATTAAACTACACACACCGGAAAAGTCTAGGGATATTACAATTTTATCCAGCCATCGTCAGTAATTTTATTATTTGCATTTCTGATATAATAAAATTAAAATAAACAAATAGTTTACAGGACGTATTGGAAATAAAAATGCGAAATTTACCGAATTTTTCAAATTTACCTTGATTTTTATTGAACTCAAAAAAATACACACATTTTTTTTAAATTCTAAACTGTGAATTAAAAAAAAAGGTAAAACCATTTTTACTTAATAAAGGGTATGGCCTCCTCTACTGTTCATTACAGCCCTACATCGTCTCTCCATGATCCTGATCAGGTTGTCGATCTCTTCTTGAGGTACAGCCTGCCACGCTGCATTCACGGCCCGAACCAGATCCCTACGAGTTTCACGAGGCATACCCATTCTCAAAATTCTTCTTTGGACCGCGTCCCATACGTGCTCCATGGTGTTGAGGTCAGGAGATTGTGCCGGCCAGGGTACGATGTTTAATTGATGAGCATTGATAAACTCACTTACCACTCTGGCTGTATGAGGCCGTGCATTGTCATGCATGAGAATGAAATTTCTCCCAAAATCATTGGCATATGGTAACACGACAGGCTCAAGAATTAAAACACAATATGTGATTCCTGTTAGAAACCTTTCAAGAAAAACGAGATCGGTTTTTCGGCCTAACTGGACTCCTCCCCAGACCATAACTGTTCCACCTTGATAAGGGTGCACTTCCTGAACATGATCCAACCGAATAAGATTTCCCGGTTCTCTCCATACCCTAAGCCTTCTCGAATCCGGATGAATTCCAAAGCGTGACTCATCCGTGAAGAGAACATTGGCCCATTGTTCATTCGACCACTGAACATGATCCTGAGCTCACAAATATCGTACCTCTCGATTTCCTCTCGTTAAGGGTTGAGCTCTCCAGGGGCGTCTGCTTCTTAAGTTGACCTCTTTTAATCTATTGCGAACAGTGTCAGGACTAACGGTTACATTATGTGTTTCCTGGAGAATTAAACTAAGCTCTGGTGCTGTAAGAGTCGGTCGGCATCGAGCATTTAATTGTAAAAAATGATCTTGCTGAGGGGTAGTAATGCGATGTCGCCCTGTGTGCCTTTCAGCAACATCACCACTTTCACGGTAGCGTGCACTTAATCGCGATATTACACTTTACGTTGTATTTAATGCTCTAGCTACGTCGATTTGGCGCATTCCAGCTTCTAGCAGACCCATGGCCCTTAGCATTTCGTCTCTGTTAAGATGTCTACGCTCCATAATGTCGTTTAATACTAAATAGAGTTATTTGAATGAATTCTGGCCAGTTATCATAAAAACATAGCCAGTACAGGTTAAATTCGAACAATCGATGCTAGGTGCTTTTTATACATTTGACAAAAAATGCACAAACATTTCTGCAAATATCCCAAATTTAGAAATAACTAGTGTGACTACTTCGTTTCAATCGAAGTAGAAAGAATCGGCCTACAAATATGTGGTTGTTTATTCAAAACATTTATTTTTAACTTTAATAAAATGATATCCCTAGATTTTTCCGGTGTGTGTTATTATAGGTAAATTAAATAAAAGTAAACTGGTATAAATTTAAGTAAATGGTAAAGTCCATAAACTAATTTAAATTTTGAAAATAGCTACTAACTGTCATTAGAAATTTGCCATGACGACACTAGTCTTCTTGGTTGTCATTTTATTGAAAAATTGCTTTTTATTCAAAATCTCAGCTAGATAGGTATAGGAAACCCTAATATAGTTTGAAAGAGTATTTGAATCTGCTGCGATTTATTTTAAAATATACAGAGTGTTGTATTTGAAATAACGAATTTTTTATGTAAAATAAATATTAAAATAGACCAGCAATTAGGTATATGTGTTATATCTTTTACAATAATTGTTTTTCGATTTATTAAAAGTATTTAAACATTTGAACAGTAAGTGTAACTTTTTATTTGATGAATAGATAGGGTATATTTGATATAGGAATAATTTTTATAGCATTATAAGAAAAATTTTTATAACTTTTACTATATAAATCTGATCAAGTTGATTTAAATCTTTGCACCTTGCTGCTTGGTGATACAGGGTGATACGAAGTTGCGTCAGTTAGTAACATGTAAATCATGTTCGATAAGTTAATTAAAAACGATAATAGGTTATTTTAATAAAATCGTAATTTTTAAGTAAGCATTTACCAATAATTTATTTGCTTATTCAAGTTCCTATAATTATAGTATACCCTTGAAACAGTATGCTAACCTACAGGTAATTACCGATTAATTTCATTTTCATAACAAATATATCCTTAACCTATACTTATTTACGACAAATCCATTAGACATTTTTTTTCTAATGTTTTTGTTATTCAAAAATAATAAATCGAAATTATTGTCAAATCTTTATTCCTATATTATATCGCAAAATACCACTTAATGTAAATCAGTTGATCTAAATTTATCCTAGAAATAAAATGTTTATTTAAAATAAGCAGTCTTAAAACTAAAATATAAAAAAATAATTATAGAGAGTACGTTTTTACCAGAAAAACAGTATACTTTCTATAGGAATGAATGGATATGTACTTATTCTCATTTGATTTTTTATAAAAGCTATACTATACTATATAAAAATTTAATTCTAGTGGAATATTATAAAATATAAAATTACGATTACAATGATCAGTATCTTAAGAATTATTTGTCTTTATAAATATTATTGTAAAATAAAAGCGCTTAAAGATATGTATTACTAAAAAATATAGTAAAATTTATCATATTATCAATTACATAATTATACTTATAACACTAAAATTCTGTAAAATATTTTCATTTAAAAAAAATCACAGAAAGAATATTTTTTTTTAGTTTTTTTTTCTAGTATATTTTTTGAGATCCTAAACTTGATATAAATTGTCCAAAACTACAGAAGAATAAAGGAGATTTAAGTAAATATTAAAAAAATGCCATAAAATTTTGGTTTAAGCTAAAAAAAATTAAGTTTCGGTCTCCTTTCCGTATTTCTCTATTTCTGGATAAATCGGGCTCATCTCCAGTGTGCTTGGTGCCGATGGTAGATTACTATTACTCCCGAAGTTCATTCTGCGCACGAATTCATCCAGGATTTCTCCAAAGACCAGTAGGTTCATGTTTTGGCCCAAGAGATGGAGCAACAGGAAATCTCCAACCTATAAATAAGAACAAAACATTAGTTATATATGTTTCAGAAATATTCCCTAAATATTTCTGGAAAAAAATTGGAAATATTTAGATTTCATTATTTTTAGAGTTTTCTTATAGTTTATTTTGTATTTTTGTTTTTGTTGAATTTTGAAAAAGCACATCCACTAGCCCTGGTCACTTTATTTCCGTGGTCTGTACTTAGTGTACTTTAATGCATACGACAGAGATAAATATACTTATACGACCAGTTGACAGGCAGAGAGACAAAATAAAAAGCGGCATACAGTGTTGCCGGTTCGTACGAGAAATTAATAAATAAATTAAGACAATATATCTAAGCTATTCAGTAATGCTCATTTCTGTTCGACAGTTCTTTAAGAATCTACTACAGCTGTTGTAAAATCAGTAACTAATTGTAAAAAATAAAGTTCCAACCCTAGATTAGCAACATTTTTCGTAAACACCTACTTATGCGGTTTGAAATTTTGATGCAAAATCCGAGAATACCGCATAGAGGAAATGTATATAACCTAACTTTTATCTCTTTTTAATACATTTGATTTATCATAAGCTATCTACATCACTGTCTTTTACGTTAAAATTCAGACCACGCAGTTTCTATCACCAGATCGGTATAAGTTTGAGAAACCATAATGAAAATGATGTCTGTCTTTTTTAAGCCATATTTAAAAAATTATCCTTACTTGAGTTTTTCTAATAATGGTGTCCACTGCATTAGGAGCTCCAAATCTGAACCTTCTCTTCAGAATCGTTTCTCTAGTGCTAGGTAGTAAAATGACAGCTGCTGAATACACTATAGCCAGTCCGGAGAGGATGGCTAGGATGATGAACCAGAACCACAAAAAGATGTAGATTTTTTCGTTGAGGATGTTCAGAGCTAGAACACAGAGGGCGTCGTGTTTTTGGATTGAACCTGATGGACCAAACTATAAAGATAAGAGAAATGTTATTGTTCATCTAGTCTGGATGTAAAGGAGATAATGCATAGTATAATTCTTCTGGTGTAACTTTTCTTAATATGGTTTAACAATACTATGATATGTAAAAGAAATCAATGTTGGTATTATTTTAATTAAAAATTAGTTGGTATGAATCACAGATTTTATCGAGTGCGTCTCAAAAGTGGCTCACCCCTATAACTTTTTTATTTTTTCAGATAAAATAACAAGATTTGGTATGTTAGTATGTGACATAAATTAGGATTGATTGACGTATTTAATTGTTTTATGTCACTTCCTGTTTTACCGGAAATAACTACAACTTTTCATTTTTAAATGGCACCCTCGGTTTTTTACATAAAAAATGACACTCAGAATATAATGGCATATCATATGTCAACTTTTGACATTTTTGCTTTAAAAAAATCGTATTTTAAATTTCTATCTATAGGTCGTGTTAAAAACACTAATTTTTAATCAAAGAGCCTTGGAAAATAGATTTGATCTTCTAATGTTTTTCGTGTCTTGTCCTGGCCGGTTAAAAGGTGTCCAAGTCGTATTTTTAATCACATCTTAGTTTTTTCAAACGGAACAAGGGTGGTTCATTAGCATATTTGGAAAAAGCATTTTTTTACGAATAATTTGGTACCAAGCACTTGAAATTTTAAGTCAAATTGTCGTTATGAACCGCATGTTACAATTTCAAATAAACCATATGCGAAAATGTCAAAAGTTGACATATGATATGTCAGAATAGAATATTCAGACTGTTAGTTTCTATCGAATAAAGTAAAAAATACCGAGGGTATCATTTAAAAATCAAAAGTTTTCATTTCCGGTGAAACAGGAAGTGATAAAAAACAATTGAATGTGCCAATCAATCCTAATTTATGTCCTATACTAACATACCAAATCTCGTTTTTTTATCTGAAAAAATAAAAAAGTTATAGGAGTGAGCCACTTTTGAGACGCACCCGGTATTGTCCTCTTATCTCTAGATTGCATTCTCTACTCAGGAGACCGCCAAGCAACGCTAAAGACACTCGGTTCCACCGAGGTCAATTCTCATAGCGTTATCATATGTACAGGGTGATTCAAACTTCCCGCCCTTGCCTTATAACAGGAAAAGGAAAACTGCAAATACAAATTTCGAAGACAGGATTTGAATGGCAGTGTGTAAGGTATATTTTTTCGCATTTAAACATTTTTCAACTTTCTTCAAAATGGTGGAAATGACGTCAAAAAAATATTTTATTCACAAAGTCATTCATTAAAAAAGTTTTTTTTCTATCTTTATTTGTTAATTATATGTTATTTTCAATTTTTTGATTTTATTGCATTATGTCGTTTTTTATTTTAAACAATAACTTCGCATTTATTGTTAATAATGTTAATTTACCAAAAAAAGATACTAATGACAAAATATTATTTGGTTTAATTATCACGGGGTGAGTTGAGATTTATTTAAAAATTTTAAATTTGGAGTCCCATAGCTTGTAACCAAATAAAGATAGAGAAAAACTTTTTTAATGAAAGTTGTTTAAAAAAATATATTCTTTCAGAATATAAAAAAAATGATGACTTTGTGAAAAAAAAATTTGACGTCATTTCCACCATTTTGAAAATTCTTTTTTTGGCCCCTTTTTTCTGCTTCTTGTATTTTGTTTATTTTGAAAAAAGTTAAAAAATGTTTAAATACGAAAATATATACCTTACACACTGCCATTCAAATCCTGTCTTCGAAATTTGTATTTGCAGTTTTCCTTTTCCTGTTATAAGCCAAGGGCGGGAAGTTTGAATCACCCTGTACATAGAGATCATAGCGTTATCATACAGTGGTGGCCAAAAGTATGGAAACTTTTTTAATTTGTCATTTATGCTGAGAAATTAAAATATGAAATAAAACGACTTATATAATCGTGACCTACAAATAATTTCCTACAAAACCTAATACATTTAAATAAAAAATTACAGCTATCAAAAAATATATAAAAAATTATGAATATTTTCTTGGTCAAAAGTATGGAAACTTAAGAAGAATGTTTATTAAAATTCAAGATAATATAAAAATTACTAATATTTAGTGGAATATCCCTTTGAATTAATTACTTCTCTACATCTTCGTGGCATCGAATCGATCAATCTCGTACAATCTTTACTGGAAATGGTCGCCAATTCAGTTTTTAGCACTTCCCATAATTCATTTTTATTTGAAATAGAATGGCTTCGAATTTTGCTATCCAAATGGTCCCATAAATTTTCTATGGGGTTAAGATCCCGAGACTGTGAGGCCCAATCCATTAGTGGAACATTATGTTCATTTAACCAATTTTGAACAAACCGAGATTTGTGCTTGGGATCATTGTCTTGCTGGAACAACCATCTGAGTGGCATTTCTTCATCAGCATGAGGCAGCATATTATTCTCCAATATGTCTTTGTACAAAAAACGGTCCATTATTCCATCAATTTTAACAAGAGGACCAACACCTGAGCGAGAAAAACACCACCATACCATTATACTCCCACCCCCATGTTTTACTGTGGGCATGTGGTACTTATGGCTGTACCGTGTACCTTTTGGTCTTCGGACATAACGTCTCCCGTCACTACCAAACAGTTGAAACTTGCTTTCGTCGCTAAACAGTACAGTATTCCATTTCTGATAAGACCAGGTGAGATGATCTTGAGCAAATTTAAAGCGGGCCATCCTATTTTTTCTTTCATATTAGTGGTTTCTTCACCGCAACTCTTCCAAAAAGTCCCATGTCATCCAACTTTCTTCTCACCGTGCGTGCAGACACCGATATTCCCCTTTCACCCATTTCTCGAGAAATGTCTGTGGATGTTTTTCTTGGATCTCCCATTGATATTCTCTTCATTACTTTCATTGTCCTGTTGCACAACTTTCTTGGTCTTCCTGACTTAAAAGCTGTTGAAACGTTCCCTGGTTTATTAAATTTACGAATTATTTTCGAAACGGTGCCTTTTAAAACGTTTAAATTTTTACTTATTTGAATTTGTTTATAACCGCTCTTGTATAATTCAACTATTTTATTTTTTAAATCCGTAGAGAAATATTTAGACTTGGGCATGATGTTTATATTTATCTGAAGCAAATCGTACCGTTTATCAGCTTAAACTAAATAATTTTAATGTATTTATTTATGGTTTCCATACTTTTGGCCACAAGAAATCTATTGTTCTCCTACAAAAACTGCTAAACAGATTTTTTTCGCTGTGTAATTTTTGGAATACTTTTATTTGCTGATAAGCTGTTCATTTATATTCCTGAGAGTTTAAGCATAGCAATATTTTCTGTGATATTTTAAAAAGTAAAAAGTTTCTATACTTTTGGCCACCACTGTATATGATGTCAAATGTCGAAGAGAGGAAATGTTACATGAGAAGAACCATAGCAGTGGAATTGGATGAATAAAATGAGGCTTCAAGTTGCAAAACCCCCCTTATCCATTTAAAAAAAATTGTCTAATGTCATATATTAATAGTGGGACCCCGAAATCTACACAAACATAGTCCCAAACTGCAGCAAAAGTCGAATATTCTTATATAAAATTCACTACAAATTTTGTTACTGCAAAACCAAACCAAAAACAAAATATAGCACTTATATTTGCTTTTTATTGCAATTCTGATCCGAATTATTTTTGTGTTTTTTCTCTTTAAAAATTAAATATTAATTTCTAGAAAAACGTGATACAAAACAATGATTCCACTCAATGGACATGTGAGACATGTAAAATAACGCCTCACACAGTTTTTGCATATTATCTCGAAACAACAGCCAATTTCGAGCGAACAACCGTTGGTTATGTTTGAAAGATAAACAATGCTTTAAACGTCAGTTGTCAACCAATCGGTACGACAACTGACGTTTAATGCATTGTTTATCTGTCAAACATAACCAACGGTTGTTCGGTCGAAACTGGCTAACGTTTTTGGGATAAGACGGGTTTTGCAATTTGACGCCTCAAATATATTATTTTAACAATTATTCATTAGGCTTATAAGATAATATGTAAGTAAAAAGTACCTTGTGGAATGTGCATTTGGTTACTCTGGGAAATACAGCCACCATGGGATCGGTACGATTCTCTTGGTTCATGTTGGAGAATCGTACTACGTCAGTACCGTAGCTCATGAAAGCGCCACCTAGGAACTTGTCAGTCAAAACTATGTTTACAATCTGAAAAAAAAGTATATCTAATTAGCGGTATGATTTGATACTCTGTAGTCTGTACAGTATTTTTTTAAACTAGGACATTTATTTAAAAAAAAACAGATTATCTACATACACAAAATGCTAATGTTTTTCTGTGTCGTCTCTACTGAAGTAACGACTTGCTCTAGAAAGTTGCTTTTTTTACTAAAAGATAGCTAACTGGTTCTTATAAAAACTGCCATCGCCGGATTTTTTGTTTTTCATTTAATTAAAAAAAAGTATTTTTTTTTCCTGATGTCGATGTCGTGGCGGATGCGCCAGGCTTCAACTAGTAGGGTTATAAAGAAACACCATTTAATATTACCTTCATAGTAATATTTTTAGTATTCTTTAAAAATATCAAAAACTGTATCAAATTTTCTACAGTAAGTTAGACATAGTGTTGTTAAAAATAAGTATTTATAGTGAGTTATATTAGTGAGTCCTTTAAAACTCAACAGTTAATTTTTCTTGTCTACTATTTTAAATATATCCCATAAAACAAAAGCTTAAAATTAGATTTCTCTACGACATTTAATTCATTTGTCATATTTCATCTTATTTTTAATCTAATCCCTAGCTTTTTTAATTTCTTAGTTAAAATATGACGTAATATAAATTTTGAAATGAGTAAGAATGCAAATATAAACTGTTTTTTTCTTAAAATTATTTAAATATACTTTGCAACAAAAAAAGGATTATGTACTTAACAATAGATAAAAAATATGTTATGATTTTACCACATTTACTGTCTCTCTGTCCTAGTTACAAATAAAATACCATTTATTTTGATTATTTCTAAAACGGTATGGAAATTTGTAAAAGTATAAATGGGATTAACCATTTTAGAACAAGCAATATTTTTTATGAAGAATGCATTTTTCTCAAAATGTTAATAATAAAAAAGTTTTTCGTCTTGTAAAGACAATCCGGGGACATACTGTATATTGTTTCTGTACATTGTTTCTGGCTCATTGTTTTTGGTTTGTTAATCTAAGATTTCTGGTAATAATTTTGTTATTGTCATTTGATTTTGAGTATATAATTATTTATTATTGGCGGACATCGTTCAGTATCAAAATTAAAAATATATTGTGCTGCCAAAGAAAATTAAAAAAATAAAAAACTGCTACTCAAACCATCAAACCCTAGCACCCTAGATCATATACCATCGTGGACACTTGATCTGCGTGGTCTGTATTTTAATGCATGCGACAGAGATACATATAAATGACCGGTTGACAAACAGAGAGACAAAATAAAAAGTGGCACACAGTATTGCCGGTTTTTACGCGTGTAGTAAAATATGCGTAGAAAAAATAAACTATTTAAAAAAAAACTTTTATGTATACTACTGAAATAAAGATAATATATTTAAGCTAAATATAATCTATTACAACTCTAGTAAAATGAGTAACTAATTGTGAAAAATAAAGTTCCAACTCTAGACACAAATTAACTACAACAGATGCGAAAGAACACCGAATTACGCGTTCAGGTTTCTGTGACCTTCAGAAAGAGTGTTCATAGACAATCCGTATCAATGTATAGTTTGGGTTATTATTTGTTTGGGTGAAAATAATCTGCACCAATATGTTATCGAGGCATACAAAAAGGTCCACAGACTTCGAGACATACGAAAAATCAAGTCCATTTAGCGTGTGTCACAATTTTCACACCTTAAAAAATTAGTTTTTTATAGCTATAGCAACTGCAGCGACTATGAAAAAAGCTGTGTGGTTTTCATAGAAAATAAGGGCACCTGTAATTCACTTGAGAATGTTATAAATCGCTAAAAGAGGTTTCAAATCTCTTGGATTTCTATTAATATTAAATAAATTTTATTAAAAATTGAACTAAAATTGTTAGTATCATTAAAAACAATTCAAATTCAAAAATTGTATCAGTCAAATTCCCTCATTTAAGGTGAATATTAAAGTAAATATAAATACAGCTCATTCTAAGCTCTACTTATCTTTAAGAAAAATTTAAATCGTTGTTGCAATTGGGCCTTAATGCCATTTCGAATGAACAATAGTATTAATAATGTACATTATAATAATAATAAATTTTATATCATGGTGTGTATTAAAACTACTAAAACACTTTTAAATTGGTATTATATTAACAACTTTTGTTTCTTAATCCAAAAAAAAAGTTACCAATTTTCTCAATCAAAATATTTGTGGTTCTGAAAAGGACCTTCGTTTTCCCATGTTCGTCAAGGTAGGTAATGGGTAAACGGTAAAAACAGGATAATGAAATTTAAAAAATTACAAAATTGTTCAAAAGTGCCTCCCTCTTGCATTAAACAATAACCCAAATGATCATAAAATCCCTCCTCACATTGGATAACATATCAGGGGTGACAGTGTCAAAGGCATTAAATATTTTCTGCCTTAACTGCTCCAAGTTTTGAATTTCTTCATGGCCGTAAATTTTAGATTGTATGTACCCCCATAAAAGAAATCATTCACCGAGAAGTCAGGTGAAATTAAACGTCAGTCTAAACAAAACTGTCATTTTTGAAAACTTGTCAAAATTTGGACACACGCTAAATGGACTTGATTTTCCTATGTCTCGAAGTCTGTGGACTTTTCTGTATAATCTCACAGTAATTTAATAGATTGCTCGTCATATTATATCAGCTCGTAGGAGATTAGGAAAAAAAGATATTTATAGTATAAAAAATTAATTTATTTAACAAAATTTAATTAAAGATGTGACAAAATAGTTACATTTCTATTGGTTCTATCGGACTTTTTTCGACTATATAAATCTTTATTTTTTGTAAACTTTAATGCATAAAATATTTTCAATCTAATAAATAATTTAATGATGTAATTAAGAGGAAATTTCTCACATGGGTGGTCAAATTCTATAGTTTTCATTATATCAAACAGCCTCTGAATGTTTTCTTCAGTGCAAAACTCATCAAAATTTAATATAAATAATTTTTCCAGTCTGTAAATAAAATGAACAAATTTTTCCACTTTCATGATCAAAGGCTTTTAAATGGGTAAATAATTTCGAGTTATCCAGAGATTCGGATTCTTTTGCAAATTTTAGACAAATATCACATTGATGTATTTGAAGACCCTTTTTAATGATGTAGTCAAACATAATTAAAGGCATTTTGAGTTGAAAAAATTTCTCAGAGGCTGTTTGATATAATGAAAACTATAAAATTTGACCACCCATGTGAGAAATTTCCTCTTATTTATATCATTAAATGATTTATTAGACTGAAAATATTTGATGTATTAAAGTTAAAGTTTACAAATAAAGATTTATATAGTCGAAAAAAGTCCGATAGAACCAATAGAAAGGTAACTATTTTGTCACATTTTTAATTAAATTTTGTTAAATAAATTATTTTTTTATGCTATAAATATCTTTTTTTTCCTTATAAATAAACACATTTGCATCCCATTTTAAATATTATTATACAAATTACCAAAACTTAGAAATAACAGTTCAAAAGTTCAACAAAAATCCTACACGCGTTTTTAAAAAGAAACATATAACCACGCACTATGTCATTCCAGCAAGCGAATACGACACAGCATAGGTTTCCGGACTAAACGACTGGTGTATTTACACCACTCAATAGGCGTGTCGGGTTTGCCGAGCGGTTTCCGATGCAGTCGCTTTCTTTCGCATCTGTTATAGGTAATTTGTGCCCTAGATGCAACATATTTCGTAAACGCCTACTTGTGCGGTTTGAAATTTTGATGCAAAATCCGGCAATACCGCATAGGAGAAATGTATCAACCCAACTTTTATCTCTTTTTAATACATTTGATTTTCCATTAAGCTGTCTACATCACTGTCTTACACGTTAAAATCCAGACCACGCAGTTTCGATGCCCAGATCGGTATACCTACGTGGATAAGTAAAAAAACTAAAAAAAAACAGACTGATCAAGTCAGAATTTTACAAGAGACTTACCACATTGATAAAATTGAGAGCTTCGCACAGAAAGTACCCGAATGCGTAGGTGTTGTGCTGGTGCATCGTTTCGATGAGGTACTGTACCAATCTGTTCTGTCTTTGTTCCCTTTCGGCTTTCTCACCAACCAGGGCACCTCTCAGTCCTCCGGAAATCATTCTTATTTTTCCTTCTTCCCAGTTTTTCCACAGCCAGTGAGGAACGTAGAAAACCACACCCTAAAATGGATCATATTATAGCAAAATACACTATTTAAGCTTATTATATCAGAAAAGAGTTTTATCTGTTGTAATTTCTGCGAATTGCGCTACATTGTTTCTGCGGCTTGTATTTCAAAACTAAGTATGTTATTATTGTAATCAAATATATTATAAGACTATATTGCTAGTACCGCATTTACACAATGAGTGGAAAGTGAAGCCAAAGAAAAGAAATACGAATATCAATCTTGCATAAGTCTATCCTTTTCGTTCAAAAGGATTTTCGTGCACACGCGCCAAATAAAACGATCTGATTCATCTACTTCATGGCTGAACGCTGTCACCTGCCCGCGCACTATTTTAAACTCTATTATTTTTTATTGGTAATGGCAGTATTTTAACCTGTTATTTTAGATATTCATCATATCTATCCGTTTCTTGTTTTTGTTTAAATATGTCAGAGGTTAAATTTAAATTTATAAGTAAAGGCGCGAATAGTCAGATGCTAAATTGATTTACGTGGTAAATAAAAACTTAGACAACTACTTCTATTGGTTAGTATGAAATAAATCAACTAATCGCGAAGCACTTCTCACGCTTGCGTAGTTCAAAGCTGTTGAACGAAAAGGACCGACTTATGTGGATTTTGTATAGCTCCATCTCAAAAATTTAGCTTCAATTTCTGTTCCTTACTAGCAATATAGTGTTATAATATATTTGATGGTTATTAATGGTTTTTTGGGTACCTATAGAAACGGGATACTAAATAATATGTGTAGGTATATAATTTTAGTTAAAATACATAGATTATATCTTTGAAATTATTTTGAGTTTTCTAATTAAATTAAATTAAAATTTATGAGGGAAGTAAATGTGACAACGCTGCTTTAGGAAGACTGTTTGGTTTCTATGGTTTTTACGATGTTTTCACTATTAATGGTAAAAGTTTCATGGATTGGTTTCATTCATGTTAGGTTTAACAGTGTTGCTGCGTGGTGTTTGTGATTTTCAAGTAATTTTTACTGTTTTTCTTTTTGCAAAAGAACTGTTAAAGTATTTTTAAATATCTAAGATGGTTTGCCAGTGCTTAGTTTGCAAAAAGGTGGACTATTCTAGTCTCAAATTGATACTTAGATTTACTTACTATCACAGCACAATGACATGATATTCATAGATTGTCTGTGTTTGGATATTAATTTTTGTAAATTCTTTTAACCTATACTAATATAGTATAAAATCCTTAAGTGACTGACATACTGATTAATCACGATCCTGCTCAAACTACTCAACGTAAGAAGCTCAATTTTGGCATACAGGTTGATTTTAGGGTGTAGAGGTTCGATAAGAAAGGATTTTCCGAAATTCTAATTCCAAGGGGGTGAAACCACCCCTCAAATATTACAATATTTTTTATTTAAAAAACGATCAAGTTTCCGAAAAACCGCTTAAACACGTATATTCTATTTTGTTTTTTTACATATTTTAAGATTTTTTAAAAATGTATACAGGGTGTTTCGAAAAATCTGGTCATTGATTAATCACGATCTTGCTTAAAGCGCTTGACGTAAAAATAGATTTTTGGAAAACAGATTGACTTTAGGGTGTAGAGGTTCGATAAGAAGGGATTTTTCGAAACTCGAATTCTAAGGGGGTGAAACTAATCCCTCAAATATTAAAATATTTTTTATTCAAAAACCGGTGAGTTTTTCGGAAAAACTCTTAAACACGTATATTTTATTTTGTTGTTTTACATACCTATTTTACGATTTTTGATAAATTTATACAGGGTGTTTCATAAAATATAACCATTGAGTAATCACGATTCTGCTTAAACTGCTTGACGTTTAAAGCTGATTTTTGGCAAACGGATTGACTGTGGGGTGTAGAGGTTCGATAAGGAGGGGTTTTCCATAATACCAAATTCGAAAAGAGGGTAAAACGCCCACTCAAATATTACAATGATTTATTTAAAAAGCGGTTAGTCTTTCGGAAAAACGCTTGGACAAGCATAATTTATTTCGTTTTTTTTACATATTTGAAATTTTAAAAATCATACAGGGTGTTCAAAAGTTGAATTCTTAACCGATTCTGTAAACTGCTTGACGTAAAAAGCTTATTTTTGGCAAACGAATTTTTCGAAAGTCAAATTCTAACGAGATGAAACTACCCCTCAAATATTACCAAGTTATATAATAATGTCGCCCTATTGTTTTTTCTCATGCTGATAAATGTGAGAAAATTTTATCCAGTTTATAGGTATGTTAATGGAAATTCTTGCTTTGCTTTATCATCACCATTACAAATGATTAATTCTACGCGAACGAAGTCGCGGGTACATGCTAGTATAATATATAACTCTGATGAAGGCTGTATTGTTGGCCGAAACGTTTGTCTATAGACTAAATAAAGTTTTTTCAAAACAAGATGAAAACATAATTTCAGTGTTTTCGGAACCTGATGTCCCAAGAAAATTAATTTAAGAATATATCGATACAATGTTCAAGAACTTGAAATTTCCAAGAAAGTGTTAAAGTATGTATGATTGTAAACAATTGGTATTTTATGAACGGAGTGTTGTATATTCTCTTTAGTTAGATGTCTTTTTTTGTTAACGTTTCACTCAGTGTTGAGGGGTGTTCTAGTGTTTCCCCATTTTAAAAACCCCGTGGCAATCCGAAGACTGTTCTTACTTAAATCAAAGAAAATCGTTGATTTTTCTCGGTCGTAAGTCTTGAGAAATTTCTTAGACCGTTGAAGGATTCCTATTCCAGGTTATGCATTGAGTCTTTTGTACATTATTTATATAACATACCTGAAAGAATAAGACGAATGGAACCCATTGGTAGTAACTGTGATACGTTTTCTCTTGGTTCTCGTTTCCTAAACCCGGATGGGCCACTTCGGTTCCAACGATTTTTCCTTGCTCGTGTGGCAAAGTGAACGTGTACGTTATCCAGCAGTACGTGTTGATCACGTGACCAGGCACACCTCTGTCATTTATACATTGAATCGGATCACCTGCAAACAAAAACATTTGTTTATATATCTATACCAATTCGTTGCTTGTCTAGAAATACTATACGATCCAATTTTTTTTTCTATAGCGAGTTACGTTTTAAAAAATATTCAGAAATTATTATTTCAAGGAATTTATTACGAGTACAAAAAATATTGTGTTGGGTTGGCGTTGGTTTCTATGTAATTTGGCAAATAAATAAAGCTGTCTCTTTAGTTGTCAGTTTTGTGTCAATATTTTTTAATTCTCTTTCGTGTCGATTGCTGATTGAATTGGAGCCAGAAATGGCTCAAAACGAAATAAGTAAATTACCAACAGATATTCAGGCTGAAACGACAAACGCCATATCCAAACTGCATCCATTTAAATACCGAATAACTTATGAAAAGAAATTTTATTATTATCATTAATTATTATTATCATCATTATCAAAAATGGAAGCAATTAAAAAACGTGCGAGAAGAAATAAAGTTTTTAACCTATCCTCGCTCTCGGTTTGCGGTTAAAGTACTATTTTATCTAGTATTTTTGATAGATTTAAGACAATTTTAACAGTTCCTATAGAAAAAAAGTATTTTTTGGAAACAGATTTGTATGCATCCTTTTTTAATCTTTCTATAAATAGTGTTAATTTTTGGCAAGTTTTTTTTCGATCATACGGTATTATATGGTATGACAAATACTCTAAAATATAATAAGAATTGTTAAATGCTACTTATTGTATTAATTATTTGTAAAATATAATGATATACAATATAGTGGTATTAAATGCGTTCTTAACAATGACCCCTATATAAATTACAAAGTCAGCTTTAGGAGGAAATTTAATAGTTGCTGGTAATAATACAAACAAATGCATAGGCAGGGAAGCTTGGTTTAATAATAGATCGTAGAAGTGATTTAATGCTGTGGAAAAGTGCAGTAACACTATAAACGTTTTCACGAATAATTAGAGAAAAGTATGAAAATATTCGAGAATTTCTTTATAGAGAGAATATTCTTTCATAAAATTTGTGTGCATTGTTATTTTATTTAAAATAACAATGAAAAAAATTCATTATTATTTAGTTAGTCTTTCCAACGAGTTAGGGAAGGTTTCGACAGACAACAGCCAAGAAATGACGGAACATACAATTAAGAAGTGAATTAAAATGAGAAATCTCTATACCGCTGTGGCGGATTCATCTCTCTAAAAAATCTAATGGGTATTTCGCAGGGTAACTTAAATCAAATGATTTAAATCAAGTGATTTTTTTAGTTTTAATCATGTAATTTAAATAAAAAAAATAATTTTATTGAAACTTTATAATAAATCAAAAAATAACTGTAAAAGTTATAAAACTGTGTCCTAGAAAACTATAAACATTTTCTATAACAGACTACTACAGATAATAAATCGAAAAATAATTGTAAATGTTATAAAACTATATAAAAATATTTATTCATTAATTTAATTGTTGGACCGATTTTTGAACTAATTTCGCGTGAATCCATTAGACCGCTTAACGCAGGGATTTGTTTTAAAATTTCTGTATAAGTGACAAAAATTCGCTGTTCGAATACATATCATTCGCAAAGTCTAGTGCAGAACTAGGTTCTTCTAATATAGAGACTATATCTTTATTCCCGAGAATATATAATTCTTGTCAGAAAATATGTTGTTTTATATTTTGTTTTGAAACGATTGTATGTTTCCAAATTCCTATCGACATTTTGATCTGCAGTAAGTCCTTTACACTTTGATATTAGATAATACATACTAATTTCATTCTCGATTTAAGACTATTTCCGATTTACTTTTCAAAAATTATACTTTTTTTTGACGCTGCTGTACCTTTGAAGGACCATCGTAAAGCTATTCCGATGTTACAGGGAGGCACAAAAAGTACATTTTTACTCCGAATAGAATCAATTTCATACATTGTAAATAATATAAACAGTAATTGAACAACAATTTGTACACTCGTTGAATTTGACACTTAATATCAGTTTAATAATATATTTTCGTACTTTTGTGCTTAGGCGTAACAGTGCTTTACTTTTATGCCTAGGCGTCAAAATGACAAAAAATTAATATTTTTGAAACGTTTGAAAAAAATCCTTTTGATCTGAAGCGATCGACTTTTTTTGCGGAATATATTGGAGGAATACATGTGGAAAAATCACACGCCCCGTAGAATTGTTAATGTTAATCTAGATAGATTTACCCATTTAGGATAGGGCTTTAATTGGAAATAAGTCTTAGTCATTTGCAAATCCGACGTAAATATTGTTTTGAATTAAAATCAAAAAAATCTGATTTTTTTTTTAAATCATGATTTTTTCCAACCCTGCGTATTTCACCACTGTTAGAAAATCTACAAAATAAAACGGTTATTTTTTGTAAACACTGCTGTGTTAATCCAACGGAGATTGTCAGCAGTGATTTACTAATAAACAAATTTGAATAACGAACAAAAAAATGCTTAACGTTTCGGGAAGTATATCTCTTCCCGTCTTCGGAAGCAAAAAAAAACACATTTTTGTGAAGAGAGACTGGAGATTGTAACCTAGAGACCAGTAGAGGATCACGATAATAGATCTGGAAAGGTCGCAGTGGAAGAAGTCAACAGCCACTTCAAAGTTCTAATTTAACCCAGATGTCTTGGAATTCTGGCAGAAAGGAACAGGATTAAATTGTTCTGGGTGCTGGGCCATAGCGGCATCAGGCAACAACAAAGCCGACGAACTGGTAAGGCAAGGGTTATTCGAATGCTATCTTGGTCCAAAGTCAGTACTGGAAATACCCAAATGTATAACCTGTCGTGCAGTAAAGCTCTGGATCAAGAAAAGTAAACCGTCCACTGGAGAGACATACAGGGACACAGGCATAACAAGGCTTTCATCCAAAGACCTAGGTCTAAAACTACAAAGAAACTGCTAATACTGGCAGGAATAAAGTACGGATTACAAATTACAACAGGTTTCTTGACAGGACATAATATGGCTATATTGATTTGATCAAGCTCAACCTGTTTCAAGGAAGCCTGTGCTGCAGACTATGCGATAAAGATCCTAAAACAGCAGAGCACGGTTTCACTGCGAGACTCTGGATCGCAAGCAAAGCTTTATATTTGGGAGAACAAGGCCAGAACTGGAGGAACAATGCTATCAAGGACCTGCAGAAGTTGCAGGTGCAGGACACAGAGACAGGAGACTGGGTGTAAACATAGAAAGGGGACATCCCTTTAATATTGAGCAGAAAATACAGATGTCTAAATTAATATAAATTATTTTTATAAAGATAGGGGTTCTTACAGTTAAGTGGCTATATTTAGACAACGATCACCAATTCAATATAATCTCAACACTCATCTCAGGACCTCCAACAAAGGGATCTTATCTAAAACAATCTACACAGAGATCTCTAACAAGCTTGCTTACTTACCTATCAGGTTATTGGCGGTGACTATAATACAGGAGAGGAACAATATGGCGGAGGTGACTCTGTAGTGGGCTCGGAAGACGATGTTGTCTATCATCGCCTTGTCGATGAGGTAGCGGACTTTGATGAAGCCCGCCACCGCGGAAGCCATACCGAAAACAGTCATTTTGGCAAGTCAAGTCTGCAAAAGAAAGAAATCAATTAAACTAATGTTATTCTTAGATTTATAATACATAATTATATAAATATTTTTAAATGTAATTTTTCTGTAATAAAATGGTATATTAAAGTTTGAAAAGGGAGATTAAGATTGTTAATTTAACCATGTTTGAAATGGTTTCAATTCTATGTCAAAAACAACATAAATATCCAGACCAGGAAATAATGAAGCATTTTTTAGCATCGATTTTTTAGTTAATTTATGTTGAAGATGTCTGATTTTTCCTAAATTTTGACATTTTATTAATTTTATTTTGACAATTTTTACATTATACAGTCCTGCTACCTGCGACTGTGTCGGACATCTATAGGTCCTATACAGGGCGAGTCTTAAATAAGTAAAAAAATCCAAATTTTTTTTTCAAAAAATTGCAAAAATCCAAATTTTTTTTTTCAAAAAATTGCAAAAATCCAAATTTTTTTCGCGAAAAAAAAATCATAATCGTGTTTCTGCGGTCTAGGGTCTATTACTAGGGTCTACTACCTCTAGGGTCTATTTCAAGATAATATTTTAACTTCTACAGGGTGGCTCAAAAAAGTGTAAGTGGATAGGAATGATTTTTTAAACGGAACGCCCTGTATATTATTGCATTTTTGGCATCCTTCTTATTCATTTTACATAGTCCTAAGATATTATTAAATCGGTTTTGATAATTTCAGAGATTAAATAAATAAATGAAAAAAATATATTTTTAAGCCTTCTTTAAAAAAAATTATTAAAAATTTAAGTTGTATCCTGAAATCAAAACTATGCTCTAGGTAGTTGCTATAGTTTCTTCGTACTTACTTTATTATAAATATCGTAATCTTAAATCATACAGGGTGTTCAAAATTCCATGCCAAACTTTCTATTTTTTTTTAATGTTACACTCAGTATATTATTTTTTTGTTAAAAAATGTAGAATTAAAAAATGGACATTTTTTTATTTGAAGTTTTGGAAATTTTTAACGGTTTTATATGGCTCTGTTAACATCATCGGTAAAATATCAGACATGTAATATAATAATATTACATATGGCTTCTCTATTTAATTAAACTTTTACACCCTTGTATATTTGACAGTTGTAAGAAAAATAGCAAACATTCATAAATTATTAAGCTTTATCAGTAACAACCCTGTAAAATTCGTTTATCTGATTAATAATTGTTCAATAATTTCAGTCTCAACAACAAACAGTAATTTCAAATACCAATATGTTAAACATATATTATGTCGAATATTGAATACAAATTGCAGTACATTATGCTAATATACGTTTAAAAAATTTCGTTGCGATGTAATAAGCATTTTTTTGTGTTTTACACAATTCCACTTTACAAGGAATAAGTAATGAGTACCGTAAAAAATGAAAATTTAATTAAATAATGATATCTGGTTACGGTTAATAATTGATTTTCATTTATATACGTCTATTATATGCCATTGTCTTATTATTTATTAATTTTAAATGGCCTGTGTGATTTTTATTTTCTGTTTTGACAATTTTTAATACTTTTGCTATTCCCTGTATTTTAACCAAAATCAGTCAAGGATATTTTTAGAATTGAAGAAAAATGATTTTGAGCAATTTTTATTGGGGACAATTTCAATGCTTCAACGATTTAAAAATTAATGTTGTGTGGCTATGAAGAAAAAAGTTCTGTCTATTTAAACTTTTTTCACCATTTATTTTTACTTTTGACATAGCAATTTTTAATTGGAATCGTTAATTACCTATGATTTAAAATAAAATATTAAATTATACTGGACTGATTAGAGTCGAATGTCGAATAATATATGATATAATTTTGTCGTCTAGTGTGCTTGTATAGTACTGCCTACACAAATTTGTTGGATTCAGACAGATTAATAATTCAGTGTTGATCTGGTGACAAATATCGTTTTTGTTTGTTTAAAATTTATTATATCAGATGATACCTCTCTCTCTATTGGTCAAAAGATATTTTTAGACAGTTTTTATACAGGGTGATTCTAATTCGACCCCCACCATTGGGATATCTTAAACTAAGGATATACGAGGATGATTAAATTAGGACAAAGTTTTGCATTAATTAATGTGCCTTTAGAAATATTTCAAAAGAACCAAAATGTACCAATTCCTATTAAAATAGAGAGCAATACCTTAGAACAGGTCTACAAGTTCAAATATTTCGAGTCCTGGATAGTTAACACCTTGAACAACGACGTGGAAATAAAAACCAGAATAGAACAAGCAAGAAATGAATTTTTTTTAAATGAAGAACGTCTTCCTGAACCCCAGATTGGACCTTGAGTTGAGAACTAGGCTCGTTAAGTGTTATGTTTGGTCAATCCTATTATACGGAGCAGAAACATGGATACTGAAAGTTCAAGAGATGAATCGCCTCGAATCGTTCGAAACATGGATATATCGAAGAATGCTTAAAATTCCATGGACAGCCCATATCACAAATACCGAAGTTTACAACAGAATAGGCAGAGAAAGAGAATTGCTCAATATAATAAAAATAAGAAAAACATCATACTTAGGGCATATATTGAGAAATGAAAAATACCACCTCTTACAATTGATAGTTAAGGGTAAGATTGAAGGAAAGAGAGGTCTCGGCAGGAAGAAACTATCTTGGTTGAGAAACATCAGAAACTGGACTCACCTAACTTTTGAAGAGCTCATAAGGAAAGCCGAGAATCGTGAAGATTTTGCCAATGATGTGATCGCCAACCTCCACGAAAGAGACGGCACGTAAAGAAGAAGAAGAAATATTTCAGCAACATTAGAAGACCTGTATAAATTTATACAGGGTGTTTCATAAAAAAACACCCTGTATAAATTTATACAGGGTGTTTCGTAAAATATGACCATTGAGTAATCACGATTCTGCTTAAACTGCTTGACGTTTAAAGCTAATTTTTGGTAAACGGATTGACTGTGGGGTGTAGAAGTTCGATATGGAGGGGTTTCTCGAATCTGAAATTCCAAGAGGGTGAAAACGCCCCTCAAATATTACCATATTTGTTATTTAAAAAACGGTTAGTCTTTCGGGAAAACGCTTGGACAAGCATAATTTATTTGTTTTTTTTACATATTTTGAATTTTTTTTAAAAATCATACAGGGCGTTCCAAAAAGTGGGGTAATTTCTTAACCACGATTCTGCTTAAACTGCTTGACGTAAAAAGCTTATTTTTGGCAAACGGATTTTTCGAAAGTCAAATTCCAACGAGATGAAACTACCCCTCAAATATTACCAAGTTTTATAATAATATCGCCGTATTGTTTGTTGTTGTTTTTTCTCATGCTGCTCAGACTCGTTTGACAATTTTGAATTTTATCCAGTTTGTATGTTAATGGAAATTCTTGCTTTGCTGTACATCACCATTACAAATGATTAATTCGACGCGAACGAAGTTGCTGGTACACGCTAGTAATTTCTGTAAAACACGCTGTAAAATAAAATGACAGCGATCTTCATTTCATAGCCATCGCTGACGCCGTTTTTATTCGATCATACGGTATCTAAAATACATCTATGGGTTTTGCTTATGTCCAATAATATATTTTTGTTGGTTCACCTAACTTTTTACGATTTTAATAATTTCTTTAGTATAAATTAAATGTCATTATTATATTTGTGGTATTTGTGATAATTTACCAATCAATGTGGTAGAAAATCCTGTATAGATTTTACTGTTTCCGCTGATAAAAAATCGAAAAACTATTTTTAAACCGCATTTTGCATTTGCATCATAGAAATAACATCGTTTTGAAGCACATTCAAATTATAAATTCACAATGGTTCAGTTTTCATAGGAAGACTTAACAAACTTAATTAGTTTGTTAAGTCTTCCTATGAAAACTTTTGACCATTAAAAAAATTAGTTGTATTAATTCTTTTCTTTAATTTATTTATTTTTATTTTTTAAGTACCTACATAATAAATATATTATAATAAAGTTTAAATACCAAAAACGACTATTTAAGAATAGACAGAAACTAGATTTTATTTTTCTGTCTTCATTAAAGCCAATCAAAATATATCGAGTACATAGCAATCGTTAGTATAAAGTATGTCAATGATAAACCACAGTATGTAGAATGTTTATAACTTTCAGTTTTGTTTTATTGTTGGAACTACACGAACTCTGACGAATTTAAATCCTAAAGTCAATAGTCTTATCATTTTTATTGAATAATCCTAGAAATCATAAAGCGTTGTTAGATTTAACTTATTATTTATATGGAATTTTTGGCTGATATTTCCTTCAGAAAGAAATACTCTAGATTACAGATTTTTATGTATTAGGTATTTGATTGTATGCCGGTATACAAAAATGTATATATAAAATTACAAATGAATTTCTAAAAAATCTGCCCATGAGTTTTGATCGAGTTCAAATCGTCAGTCTTTTGAATATGAGTTTCTTTATGGTTCATTTGTAGAATTTTTTTAAAGTTATTAAACATACTGTTACAGATTCGTTTGACATATACTAACTTTTAAAGATATGTGTATTTAGTTCTTTTAAGGATATTTTAGTTAAAAGAAAATATTCAGTTAAATTTAAGTTTAGTTTCTTAAAATTTAAATCATTACTTTCTCCCCTTCAGGACCAACTTGTCTACGCCAATGAGTACGAAACCACACATTTGCAAATCGTAAAACAAAACATTCGTTTTGAAATTTTTCATTAATCACATTTACACGTATTAAACGGTTCTTTTTTGAATGCTTATCCTGTAAACTCATGAAATTGGTATTTTTGATTGACGCATTTTAAATGTGACTCGTATTATTTGACAGTCTGATTAACGCAATTTTAACGTAGCATTTGACCACAATCAATCTTATCAAATTTCTTATTTAAAAATTACAGAATTTTTCCTGCTATGATTTCCTCAAACATCACAAAAATGGCGACGAGAAAACAATGAGTCTTACATTAAAATTACTTTTTAAAATTTAGTAAAATGACTTGATTTAG